CGGCAGGGCGTCGTACCACCCACCCGTTTAGCTGTCGAGACACGCTGCACCGCCGCCCCCTCCTCGAAGAAGGGAGCCCCCTCCTGAGAAGCCCGCCACGTGACCAGGTGTCGCCCAATCGCGCCCATCCGTCGTGCACGTGGAACAGACACGCCGCCGCAAGCGCCACCCGACAAAATAAGCACTTGGGACTAATTTGTATTTACCTGCGGAGAAGAGCCTCACTCGAAACGACTTGACCCCCGCCGATTATCCGCTTAGTGGGGAACGCCGAAAGGTAACGTGGCTTACATTCCTGTCCCTGTACTTCTCTGCACAACAGAGGTGTCACGGGAATTGCGATAATGTGATAAAATACCTCTTTAAACAGGCCATGCCTTCCGTAATGAGTAAATTTTTTGATGCGGGCAAAAAAATTGAATTATTTATTGTTTCACCACCACATTATTGAACATATTGACATTACATACATTTGGTACCTTTGATCGTACTGACGAAGGATCATAACGATGAATAAGCTATTATATACAAATTATATTACCTGTTTTTTTGTGTTATGTGTATTACTAATTTCCAATCCGCACAGATGCTGAAAGAAAACTTCCTGCGTCCGGGGGTGTCTATGATCTCGGTAGATACCTAGAACCTCAGGAAGTACCCAAAGAATAAAGAACAGTTTCCACTTTCACTGCAAATATTTAATTATTGCTTCAAATATGTAATTGTTGTTTTGTTTAATCTCATACTTCGCGTACAGATTGAATTATCATACTCAGTGCCTCGCTGCTTATCATACATCTGATATTATGTGACAGCACGGCTCCAAGGAAGTAGCCACCCGCATATAAATACCTACCATTCACGTGTTGCACTACGAAACAGCAACTTTTTTTTTACCATCTCGCCCTTGTAATCATGCTCCGGAAAACGGCGAGTTTTCGACAGATCAACTCTTATTGACGGGCCCTGGTAAAGTGGATAAATCTTGTTCCACTAATAGGTTCTGTAGTCACAATCCATGTGTTGTGGGTCCTTGATACCGAAAAAGCATTGATGGAAAAACGTTTGACTGTACGTCTTCGATCAAAGCTAGCGCCTATTTATCGGCTAATCGTTAAGCAGATATTCTCCAAAATTGATATTCCTTGATAGATTTAAAGGAACTCGAGATCCTGCATGTCTAAAACGGATAATTTAATTTTTGGGGGTATTTTCCTGGATGCCACAAATACAATACATTTTCAACATTTTCTCAAAAATTGCCAAAAAGTTTTTATTGAACTTTGTTCTCGACTATCATATTGTATTAAATCAAAGTTAACAAAGATGATTTCCATTATTTCATCATAGAGTTCAAGACACCCAAGAGGAAGAGGTAGAACAACCAGCTATGGGGGGGGGGAACAACCAGGGTAGAACAACCAGGGGATTATCCAGATGAGAATCGGTTAAGATGGCTCAGAGACCAAAACCGTTGCGCGGATTTGAGGGCGAATTTTCGGCATTAGCTTTTTTATATGTACTTTTGGCTTGTCTATGTCGAATTGAGACTTAATCTGGAGGAGAATTGTTGCGGTCGGCTGCTCTGATTCGGTGGTTTATTATGGTCTATGAAATCAACTCCAGGAGTATGCCAGAGCAGTACTTTATCAAACGGACCACAGATGGCTGGCGCCTCTTCATCCTTGTCAATTCCTCGTCAATTACACGCACACTGTTACTCTTATGCTTACATGCTCAAACATCGGCTGACCCGTCAGAAGCTTAGAGCTTTTCCCAATTGATGCAGTGCTCCAATATATCTGGAGGAGGAAACGCTACAAGTCAAGGTATAGGCTAGCGCCGAATTCACCTTCCAGTGAGAAAGGAACACCACCACTTCTCGGCTATAACATGCACTTCTCATTAAACTGATGACCAAAGTAGTTGACCACCCTCACTGACTCCTCCAGAGGAGTTGTTGAAGTTCGCAACAAGGGAACATTTTACAGAAATATCCAAGGCCGAAAATTGCAGAAAGATACAGCTATCCAGAGAGCAACATTGAAAATATTCTCAATAGATAACATGAGTGTAGAAAATGTTAAACTCAAGGCCCAGTAATAATCATTGGATTGTTTTCAAATGAAGATGGAATGTTATTGAGAATTTGCTTAATTACTCCAATAGTAATCTGAGCTTGCAATATTATACTGCTTAAAACTGCCAGGAAAATTGTATTCGAACTTGCAAGATTTAATGTATCCGTATCGACTGTCCATCTAAATAGCAGATTGTTGTGCGGAATGTCTTGTTGTGTACTGAAAAAATTCGTAATTTATAAATCATATGTTTTTTGGAATATTTCTCCATAATACAGAATTGTTTCAACATGAAACATTAATGACTCACTTACCTACAATGGGTGGCTTAGTTACCTTCATTCTGGGGTTCAGTGAAACATTTTTATGAACTCTTTTTATACATCCTACAAAATTTTGTTTCAAGTTAGAAAATAAGTATAGAAAATATTAATTGTTTTATTTATTATTACGTTTCTTTGGTAATATTATTATTGTATAATTGGAGACGCACTGCAGCACGTCAGAAGAAATATGTTAACCCTATCAGACCTGACATTTTTTTAGATATTAAAAACATTATTTCACATTTTTTGTGGGCCATTTGAAACCGATTTTACATAGTCATATCAATATTTTAGTTTCTGGACTTGGCTACAATTGTGTACATTGGGTCTCAAACATTGCAATACAGAATCGTTGAAGGAGGTATATGCGGTTAGTGAAATGAAAAATGATGATGGACGTTTCGAATGATTTTTTATTAACAGAATAACAAAAGAATTGAAAATTTTAATTTTTTAAGATAAAATTCTGTGAAACAATTTTTGTTCCTTGTATGGCAGAGGTGAAGTATACATTTCTGACACATTCGTGATCGTCCAATGCAACCTGGAAACTTACGTATCCTGGGAAGTGGCACATTATTTTGAAGGTGAAAGTGACCAACACAATAAAATCTTATTTCTTCTGTTGGACTTCTTTCTTGCAATTTTTTCCGACTTGGTGCAGATGGAGTTGGAGAAGATACCGGCCTGCCGCGTTTCGCTTCAATTTTTTCCCCATTTTAAATAAGACCTTCTGCCACCTTCATTCGAAATTCAAGGAGGTCGAATTTTGCTTTTAGGTATTTTTTATTTCTCCACAATTTTGCTGAATTCTAACCAACTTTGTGTAATTGCAAAATCAATTGCATGAAAAATATTTCTTAGTTTCCATTTTTTATATTTAATGAAAGTCCTCTAGAAGCTAATTAGCAGATCAAATAAATCAACCCTTTCCATTGGGTGGCTGTAGAGCTTTTCAATTTCTGGTCTTTGCACTGTTACATATTTATTTTCTTTCTTACTCCAACGGTTCACATGATCAACTGTTCCTTCTACTACAAAATTTGAACCCAAAACAATGGGCCAGTTATCACCCCATTTCACTAATGTAACGCCATTAGTGCTACATATGTCTTCTGAATAACCCCTTGGTTTTTTCATCGTTTCCTTATCTGGAATTAATGGTGGTTTACCAAATCTGCATACTCTAACAGTACCAGCAGATGCTATTTCTTTTTATTTTAGAGCCTGAAATAATTTATAAGATGAAATACAATGATCAAAAACTAATTTGTGACCCTATGAATGATTTAACCTTTCTGCGAGTTGCAAAACCACAGTTGGATCCCTTGACCAAATACATGTGACAAATTGCTACGGAATTCCGTAGAGTTCCCTTGATACAAAATGAAGTCATATGCCTGCCCGCTTTATCCGCAAATCATGAACATCTTTATTCCCCAAGGCATTGGTTTCCCTTTTACGTATTGGTTGATATTGAGTCGACCCGTGAAAGGAATCACTGACTCATCAACTGTTAAACATTCTTCAGCATACAATTCTAAACACCGTTTGCTTACAGCTTTATAAATAGGTCTAACTTTCCCAAATTTATCTTTGTTAACTTTGTAGATCTTTAGGTTATCAACTACAGTAAGATTAGTTCTTAGTTTAAAAAAATTGTCTCTTGACACGTTTTCAAGAAACATTTGTATTTTGAAAATA